ATCGGGGCCCGATGAGCGAGGAGAGTCGGAGGACTACCTGTTGGTCGGTAGTAGACGATGGCAACGAAATAGCATCGAGGTTGGAGAGAGGAAATGAAAGGCGTCGCGTCAAGTTTGGAAAATTAGTCGCCGTCTTCGTCGGTTTGGATCGCAAAAAGCAAGGAAAGAGTGAGGCATTGGACAAAGTCAAAAAAAGAAAGGGAGCAGGCGTAACGTAGAAGCCAGCGAGCAATAATTTGGGTGTGGCAGACAAGAGACCCGACAGAAACAGATTCCAGTCAAGGCCCGGCCAGGCCAAGCCAGCACGGGGGGGCTTGACGGGGGGGTAAGCGTGGACGTGCTCCGTCAGGTACCTTTACTGCGAGTGCCAGTGGAGATGGGTACCTTACCATGTGTGTACCATACCTTCAACCATGCAAATGGAGAAAGCTGGCCTGTGAGTATCTTGTACATTTCCAGGCTCGGTCACTGTGTACGTAGTAAGTTTGCCAGCCTCCCAGCTATCACTCTCAAGTTGGGCTGGCTCGAGAAGTGGTGCAACTGCAATGGGACTTATTCGTTGTGAAATGGGCCGAAATTGCTGTCTGCACCGCACCACCTTCTCACTTTATTGCCAACCTGCTGCGGACTGCATCGTCGTCATCATTTTCTACCCGACTATCCATCCGGCCCGCGCCATGTGGCCTCACCCATCCTAAGAACGATGGGTAACACTACTCGATGCCAAATCAGTTTCAGTATTCGAATAAGCCTCTGGATGAGAGGTTGTAGTCGAAAAATATTGTTCAGTAAAGTAGTTTTTGCGATAGCACAAGTCGAGATAACATCAAAATGAGCAATCTGCTGGGATAGGCAGACACACGTGGGAGAGGAAAATGCGATGGAAGATGAGATTACGAACCCAAGAGGGACAAGTTCCTGTATAAATGGGGAGATGGCAATTTCGGGGAACCACCCCAGGTCCGACAGACTGGCTCTCAGCGGGATACGCGTTTGCTGTTTGCTTGCTGCGATTCGCAAGCGCAAGGTGGTTGGGATTCTCACCTACCCGTACGTACTCCGTACCCGTGGATGGAAGGTATTGGTACGTGTACGCCGCCTGGTCTGAGCTCTCGAGTCCCCTACAGCCCTGTGGTGAAGGAGGGGCAAAAGGGGTTTGTATCGATTTCGCACAACACCATTTACATTTAGATTGAGGTTTGTACAGGGCAAAAGCTCAATGGCACCCAATACATGTGATACTATTAAGCCTCTACTGAGGAATGGTCGATTGTTGCCGCGTTAGTCTACCCAGGTATGAGAGCTGGCTTCTCATCAAATTTAATGACACGAGAAAAATCTAGCATCCATCAAAGACACAACAAATGCCGTTCGGCAGTGACACAAGCATTCAAGCTTTATTTACCTTATCGCAATGCGCCAACATAACCTACCTCAGACACGGGAGGTCTTTGTCTTATGAATGCAAAGCCCTGCATTTGAATAGACAATAAGGTAAAGTTGCCTTCAAGCGAGAACTTCGCAGGTGAAAGAAGCCAGCGTGGTACCTTGATTGTTTCTTCAACTTCATGCGTACACGCACTTGTCATTGGATGCATGTTTCACAGACCATCCATCCCCCAAGTCCCTCAATGCCCTACCTATCCTTACCCTGGTATATACTGAGACCTGCGGCGGGCGGGCGAACCTCACGATGTAGCAGCTCCCAGACACTGACTGGGCCAAAACAAAACAACGACCTCCCCCGTCTATTTTGGTCTGTCTTTCTGCGTCGTTTTGGAAGACGGGAATGCGGTCCCACCCAGGGTGTCTTGCGGTGTTTGGGACGGACAGGTGCCTGGGATGATCCCGCCCCCTCGGAGAGTTCCTACAAGGTGCTCGGACACTTGCACACAGGCCGCCAATCATGCCCGCTTATCTGCACCTTTGGGAAACCTGGTCTAGCTAACTTCAGGCAAGGCGAGAATCGACAGCAGTGCTACGGGATACCCAGCTTTCGTGAGTCGGGAAATCAAGTGTCGAAACCCGCGAAGAAATGGAATCTTCATGTGCTCGATCGTCGCGGCACGAGGGAGAATTAATTCATTCAGGTAGTGAATGGGCAACAGACACGGAAAGGCACGTGGAGGAAGGTCACTTCCAAGTTTGCGTCACTTTCCTTCTGAGGGCCTTACATAACAAATACGTACCCATCTTCTTCTCCTTATTCGTTCCTTCCAACTTGCATCTGCACCTGCACCTACGGAGTATGTACACCTGCACCTCTCCTGCCTCGCCTTACTTTTTCGACCCATCCAGCTCCCGTCGGTCGTCACCACCGCCGTTCCATCCGTCTGATGTCGTCAGCACCCGACTGCACCCCTTCTAATAGCTTCCATTTCTCACACGCCCACGTCCACTACCTTACGATTCAATCTGGCAATGGAACATCTTGATTCCGACTCCATCGTCACGTCCGACCTCACAATTGAAACCTGCTCTAGGAGCGTGCCTTGCCAGTAGTCGCCTCACAGTCTCACGTCAACTATCGCTCCTCAGTCGAAATGCATGCTCTCGCTTCTACAATTCCAACAAGTCTCTCTCCACAGGATGTCTCTGCATCTGCCAGCTCAGCAAAATGCCTCCACCTTGGATCCAGAATCACAAACAGCCCCGGAATGGCCTCCTCCAACCCATGCCTCAGAGAGTGGCAATAGTCCCCTCATGTTCAGTTCGACCGTGGACAGCCCGCCGCCTACGCTACTTTAGGCTGTCACTCGCATGTAGGTGGGTGCCCCTATTAGGACGAGCTGTCAAGCAGAATGACGGATTCTTCAAGGTGACCTGCCAAGGCACCTCGCGAAAGGTGTGCACCCTCTACCCGCAACCAATCACGATACGGCTCGTCCCCATTGCGTGCCGCTGCTCCGCATCCCCCGTGATGCCCGGAGTCTTTCGAGTCCGAGAATTCCGAAGCGGCCCATCCTATGACCGGCATCACCTGCAGTATGGCATGGGACCCTCCCGGGCCTCTGTGAATCTCTCATTCGGAGTGTTGAACCTACCTAGTATAGACCCAGATGGATTTCCACAGGTGCCTGGAGTCCTGCCGCAGCCTCACACACCATGCTCGCATAAGCGACAAGACTATTCGCAAGCACTCGTACAAACATATGTTCCAGGATCTATCGGGAGGGAGACAGTAAACCATGGGATAAGTTTCCAGTCTTTCTCGGCGCTTCTGGTGTCGTAGGGCGTAAGAGTCGCAGTTCGTAAGTTTTCATCTCTTTCAGTATCCATAGTGAGGGTCTTCTGTCGGATACGTCAAACAAGCGTTTGGATACGACTTCACACCTGTCAAGAGAGAGGTGGTTGGGTTGTCAATCCATGATTGGCCCTAAAGCAAGTGTAACGCACCCCGGACAACTCAACATTGCTGGTGGAGCTCTTTCGACGATCACAGATCTGAAGATGGAAGGAAAGCTCACCGATCTACACCGACCATATCATTAGAACGTGATGGAAAAGGGAACCCGAGCCAATCTTATATCTGAACATATGGTTTCTTGCAGTCATCTTGGCTTCTTTTACGATGACGTAGCCGAACGGTGTTTACCGCGCGAGACGAGGTGGCTTTCCGAACCCGTCGCTGTCATCCAAGTCCGGGAGGCTCAAATAGCCACATGGCGGCCCCATCTTGAGCTGAGGGAACCGACCTGGCGGTAGATACCGCTGTACTACTCTGTTGAGGATAATTCTGCCTATCCCATCATCTCAGAAGATGCTAGTATCACAATTTCATGGCTGCAAGAGGCGACAAACGAACAAGTTGAAAACGAGATCCCATGCCTATGCCAGCCAGGCAAGACTACTGAGGTCTTGACGTTGAGATATTTGTCTAGAGCAAAGTTGCTTAGATATCTGTCCACCTTAGTGACCCATTGAGCTATGGAATGGCCAGCAAAGCGGGAGCCACGCGCCGGCCAGGCCGTTAGTCGCCGGCTTCGGGGCAGTGTCTCACATCCTAGAGAGCGCGCTCTCCGTGCCTTTGACCGAATTCCTGCAACTAAGGGTAGGATTGACGATCATTTCTCCAAGCATAACTTCAACTACCGCAATACCATCATGGCTCCAATATCGATTCCAGTTCAACGAGTAGTCTCGCGAGTCGACGGCCAGAACCTCACGTGGAAGTCCACATGGGAAGAGAACCTGGACCCAAGTAGAGAGGTCGGATGCAGCAAGCAAGCTGGCCCATTGCCCGTTTTCTTTGTGCAACTTGAGCCAGCTGAAGTAAGCCAGGGTGGAGATTGAAGAACATCTAGACACTTGGCCACGCGTGCTGAGGTACCGGCCAAGAATCTAGCCAAGGAACCGGAAGTCGGGATGGAGTTGTTGGTGTTGAAGGTGCCGCAAGCAGAGGCTGTAGTAGGGGACGGCAGATGGAGGAGAGACATGTCCCTCTTTATGATGTTGTCTTCTTTGAGCCCCAACCAACGCCAACGCCAGCTAGCGCGTGTGCATGCATCGAGACTCAAGACACTCAAGACTCTCTCTGCCGGAGCCTTTTTCCTCTCTTGCGCTCCTTCCTCGAATGGCTCGCTCTGCTACGGATACCTCAGGTTAGTGCTCAAAAGTCGATGCTACCAACTCATCCCCAGAAGCGATCGCGACGACCTGGGCCGGGGCCGGGACCCACCTAGGCCGAGCTGAGCTGTACTGCCTTACACCATCGACCTAGAAGCTGAAGATTCCGTGTGGCGTTTTTTCCACACCTTACCTTCCTTACCTTACACTCACTTCCTTCCTTCTTTTTTATCCGCTGGATATCCCCGATTCACGGAGCCTCATCTCTTTTTCCCCTTCTTCAAGGTTCTCTTCAGCTTCAACAATCCTTTTCTTCCGGGACCTTCCCACCTTTACCTTCTTTACCCTTTCTTCTTCGGTATCTTATCTCTGGGTTTATTGTATCTCATTCAAGCCAAACAATACCACAACGAGAACATCGAAAGCTGCCCGAGATGAAGTCTGGAATCTTCATCGCCTTCACCGCCGCTGGCGCGGCTGTGAGCTCCGTCACGGCCTTGTCCTTCCCTCGCACCACTGCGGGCCAGGGATTTATCGCCATGCCGGTCAGACAGGTCAGACCTGACTACAGTGACCTTGACAAGAGAGCGGCCATCGAGGTTACTCTCAAGAATCAACAGTTCTACTACTCGACTGATAGTGAGCATTTCCCTGCTACCTCTCAATCCTTTGAGCAGACTGACACAATAAAAAAATAGTCTCGATCGGCACTCCTGCCCAGCAGGTCACTGTCCTACTCGATACTGGCTCCTCTGAGCTCTGGGTCAACCCGGACTGTGCCACCGCTCCTTCTGCCTCCCAGGCCAAGCAGTGTCTTGCCGCTGGCCAGTACAACCCGGCCAAGAGTCGCACCCCGGCCGTTGGCCCCATTGGAGCTCGAAGACTCAACTACGGAGATGCTTCAGACGCCAGCACTCAGACCAGCGCCGAGATCGCTTACTACGTTGACACCATCACTATGGGCGCTGGTGCCATCGTCAACCAGACCTTTGGCCTCGTCACCAAGAGCGATGGCATCGCCACCGGCATCATGGGCCTGGCTCCTGACCTCAAGGCTGGATTCGAGAAGGGCAAGCCCTACAGCCTGATTCTCAATACCTTGGCTGATCAGGACGTCATCGGCAGCCGTGCCTTTTCGCTGGATCTCCGCCACTCTTCCTCCGACTCTGGCGCGCTCATCTACGGCGGTCTCGACAAGGGCAAGTTCATTGGAGAGCTTCTAAAGGTTCCCATGATCGCTGGCATCAGAGGCGAGCCTCGGTAAGTCAAGGCCTCTCTCACTCCAGCCTGATTAAGTGAAAATGCCACCGTATTTTTCATACTAACTCACAATTCCAGTCTCGCAGCCACCCTTTCCGCCGTTGGCATGTCTCTTCCTAACCAGCCCGTCAAGTCTTACGACCTCGGTGCAGCTGACACGAACGTTATGCTCGATTCGGGTACTACCCTGACGCGCCTCCATCCTGCCCTCGCGCGCCCCATCCTCGCGGACCTCAAGGCAGTGAGCGATGACAGCGGATACTGGACCGCCGACTGCTCCCTCCGCACCCCGACCCTCGCCAACGGCGGCAGCGACTCCTACATGACCTTCACCTTTGGTAAAAAGACCATCCGCGTGCCCCTCAGCGACTTCATCCTCGACATGGGCCCCAAGGACGGCCAGTGCTACGTCGGTCTCGTCATCACCACCGACCAGCAGATCCTCGGCGACAGCATGATGCAGGCCGGCTACTTCGTCTTCGATTGGGATAACCAGGCGATTCACATGGCACAGGCCGCCGACTGCGGCAAGGAGGACATCATCGCCATCACCAACGGCGAGAACGCCGTCCCCAGCGGCCTCGTCGGACTCTGCAACGGACCCGCCACCCCGGACGGCAGCGTCGCGCCCGCACCTGGTGCAGTGAGTTCCTCTTCGGCTCCTCTTTCTCCTGCTACTACTGCTACTACCACTTCCCCGTGGCTCTTCCCCGACGCCCCGACTGGCACCACCTACACAAACCCCCCCATTCCGAGTCCGAAGTTCGTGACTCCCTCTGATTTCGTCTTTATAACAACTTATCCTCAGTCATCCTCCTCCGCGACCGGTAACGCCTCGCCCGCTTCCTCCGCTGCTATTACCCCCACTGCGGCCACACGCGGCAGCGGTGGCAGTGGCTCCTCGACGAACACGGGCACGACGACTGCCGCCCCGACTTCGACCGATCCTTCCTCGTCGAGCTCCTCCGATTCTCACAATGCCGCCTCATCCCTCTTGGGCAGCGACCAGGTCTTCACGGGCTTGTTCATGAGCATCTTGGCTATTTTGGTCACCGCGACTACATTCTAAGTCTGGCTTTGGAGATGATTTTGTGAACACAACAGGAAAAAAAGGCTAAGGATACGATACCCCTTCTTTGTTCAGGTTTCGGGAGGCATTGCATTCTTTGGGGAGTTTTCATTATCAACTTTGCATTCACGGGATGGCGTGGACATTTTGGGGGAGGGGAGGAATTAATGGAAACCCTCTTTCTCTTCTGGTCTTATCTGTCACAGACGAGACATACAGAGATTGAGAGAGGGGCATGAGTTTTGTTCCCTGGCTAGCTGGCCATGAGCTTTTGAAGAATGGTCCTTCACAAAGCTGGGGGTTTGGGCTGGATGTCTAGCTGGGACGGACGTTTACTGATGACCCGTTACGATACCAATGACGAAAACTTGAGGCCTGCTTTTTTTTTCTACCAAAGAAAAATGACCGGGGTCCTGACTTTTCCAATTCAAAAAAGTTTCAGAACCATATCTCCTGCTCGTTCCCTCGCCGTCCCACTCCTAATCATTTCGTGCTTTGCTATTCATCCTGTGACTGTGTGACTGTGACTGCGACTTGAGAACGGTAACACAAAAACGTACATATTTCATCACACCAGCCCTCGATTTGTCTGTGTTCAGTCAACTTGTGACGAGCCCTTTCCTTAAAAATCATCAAGCGAGACCAGAATCCGGGCATTGGCGGAGAAATCATCCAAACAGACTGCGTCGGGTCTAACTCCGGGAAACGCCGTTGACCTCAGCATGATCCCCATCCTGCACATCTCCTCTGACGTAGTTTGTCTCTAATGTTTCCTCTGTCTCAGGGTACCTATGCGTTCACTTACTTTACTTACCCAAAATGAGCAACACCGGTTCTAGACCACCCCTGCGAGGGGTCCAGGTCCTCCCAGACCATATCCGGCTCTTCCTCGTTACTTCATGCCGCCGTTCCGGGACCCGAAGGTGCGGCACAAGGTACCTAGCCAGCACTTCGAATTGAGATGGCCACGATTTTGGGGGGGGGGGGCCCCGAAAGCAGGATACACCGTCCGTGAAATGTCTCACTCCCTGAATGAGGTAGTACCAATGATGAATGCTGTAGAGCCCCTCTCCGCCCTTACCCTTCTTCCCTACCTTACCTAAATGTTCCTTCTTCCCTCTTCCAATAAACGAACTCCTTCCACAAGCAATTGCAGAAAAAGGCGTTTCTGCATATGTCCCAAAGTAGTTCAACCCCGACGCCTCCAAAATTCCCGAGATGCTGGGACGGTGGAAGGCCATCTCATTCGTCGATCCCCGAGTCGAGACACGTGTCTCAATCCTGGGCACAGTGAGAGAGCTTGAACAGCTGAAGCTTCACCTCGTCAACCTCGCACGCAGCTTGAAGCCAAGATCTCCACATCGAGATCCGTTACGGAGTGCGCACATGCTTTCGACGAGGACGCCGCGAATTTCGCATACGGCCTTCAAGATAATGTCACATCAGAATGCTGGACAGGATGTGACTGTAAACTGGGGAAATTCTCCACTATGAACTAAGTAACTGAGCTATGTGCAAAGGTTGGATGCCAAATGATTAAGACTGCCGAAACAGCAAAGTTGTTCCCAAGTCTTCCTTGGATAAAAAGCAAAAGTCTCTCTCCGACTTCCACCCAGCCTCGCTATTGCTGGAAGCCTCACAGTTTCTCCCCGAAAGTGGGAAAACCACGAGGCAAGATTGAAATGAAAAAAAGCAAAAACGATCAAATCTCCTTTCTCCATTCTCCCAAACGAACTCTCAGAAATCAGAAAATCCCGCAAAATCACCGTGAATCGAGTGTTGAATGCTTCAGTATCATCATCTTGGATGATAGAAAAGCGTAAAGTTGAAGAAGATAGCTGGCCTGTCCGGGCGATTTGCAACGAATGACTAGGCTCTGGTTCTGCGCTTCTTGGTAGTGCGAGCGAGAGAAGACTCGCTCTCGCTGTAGGTCTCGTCGCTGTCGATGCCATCACGCTTTCTAGTACGCGAGCGTGTGATACGACGATTGGGAGCATCCAATATTCCAGTATTTCCCTTGGGTCCAGTCGAGGTGGTGGTGGGAGCAGCTGCAGTCACAGCTCTGCCACCTGTGACGGTCTTGGCCTTGGTCTCGAGCAAGGTAGGCTGGATAGCGACCGATTTGTTGAGATCCGTAATCAAGCAGGTACTGCAAGACTTCATCTCGATCTCATTGCTGTCACCAGGCTTTGGGTAGTCCCAAATCTTTGATACCGACGGGACGGTGCTCTTCATGAGAGCATCATCACGACCTTGAGGGGTGAAAGTCGGGTGCGTGAGGTCGATGTTTCTACAAGTCAGAGCGAAACGGCGCTTTCCCTTAGGATCGACCCTGTGCTATAGTAATGTCAGTACCTGTGCTCCCAATCATCTCAGAGGCACTTACCAGATACTCCTCATGAATGCGGGAGCCATGCATAACCACGATGTCGCCGTGGTACAGGGGGAACTTGAGAACCACCTTCCGGTACTCCTCATCCTCCTTCGTCTTCTTTCCTCTCTTTGAATTTTTCACACTCTTTGTCTTCTTGGCAAAGAACATGATTGCCGGGCTTCCTAAAGAAAGTGTCGCTACTGTAGGGCCCAAGGTATCTTCGCCATCATCGTGAAACTATAAAAGTCAGCTTCGAGTTCATAAAGGAATCATAAGGTTACTAACGCCGATCTTGTCTTTCTCCATGTAGCCGATGGATAACAGCTCGTTGAAGTTGGTGAACTCAGGAGTGATAGACGGATCCCGAGTAAGTCCAGTATGTTGAGCGTGGCGATCAACAACTCCCAAGACTTCGTTCGTCATCTCGATCGATACTTCACCAGCCCACTCCATTCTCTTGAGGCCTCCAATGAAAGCCTCGGGGGCCGCTGAGAATGGCTTGGAGTCCACTGCGACGACGAACTTGTAGGGAGCGCCCCAGTTTTGGAGGAAGTTTCTCGTCAGCTTCTCTGTGGGTACTGCAACATGTTAGTTACGGGTTCTGTGGAACAGCTTTGGGTGAAGACTTACATCCGGGATGAACCACCGAGTTTCTAGACAGGTCGAAGGTGTCGACCGACTCGTTAGAGATCTTCCACATCTCATCAGGACCGCCAGGCTGTCCATTCGCAGTCTGGTTCGTGCGGACGATACTGACTGAGCCAATGATTCTGCTGGCGTCGTTGAGATCCGGAAGAAGATATTGTTCAATGAGAAGACCATTGATCTGGGCGTGGTGCTGCAGAATTCCTGTATCGTAGAGTCTAGACCCATGCGTTCTCTTGACGTGAGTCTCCTCTTGGAGGACATCCTGCAGAGGGAATGCAGCCGGCTTAGCCATCAAGACGAAGTTGCACACTGGGTTCTCATAAGCCCAGTGAGTCCAGTCAATTCGTCTCGAGCAGCCGTGGCACTGAGGACAGACAATACCCTGACGCATTGTATTCTCGGTGCCGAGATGGCCTTTCATGGATGGAAGGTTCGGTTGAAGAGGCTGCTTGGGGAGTTGAAACGTTGTTCTCTCTTGAAGAAAGCTCTCCGAGTATTCCAGGCGAGCAACATCCACACCAGCTGGGAACATGAAGAAATTCTTGCACTTGCGGTTGAGACAGGTCCATCCGGCAGAGAAGACCGTCTTGCAGTGCTGGTGGCAGTCGATGCACCAAGCAAGGATTGCAGAGCAGTGAGAAGCAGCTACAAGCCCCATGATGTCGGTCTCAGAGGAGAAGATGAATGACTCTTCGCAGTGAGCATTCAGGCAAGTCCAGCCCTGAATAAAGTACTGCTTGGACATCTTCAAGCACTTGCTACAGCTTTGGCGAACGTCACTGAACTCCTGAGGGTTGACAGTGTGTTGAACTTCAGCCTTTGCCTGCCACCAAGATGGTGCAGAACGGTCGATCTTCTCAAGTCGAATCTTGTGGCAGAACTGTCCATTGGCTTCTTTCTCTGACCAGATGTCCGTGATGGTGAAGAACGCCATGACGCTGTACTTGTGCTCCGTGGCGATGGACAAGCCGGGGTAGTTCTTATCTACTTGAAAATGAGTATGACGTTCAAGCATGGTATTGCTTCGAAGGATTGACTTACCTAAGATGACGCCAACGGGCATGGCTTTCATCATGGAAGCCTGGGCAGAGGACAAGTTTCTCTCAAAGCTCTCCTTGACTCGGATCATGTTGCCATCAACATCGCGCTCTCTGCCGCCACCGCTGCCACAGATCAAAACTGTTAGCAGTTGGTTAGCGAGGAAAGTTTGGGAAGCACCTACAGCGCAGTGATGATGACCTCTGCATCCATGCGGTCTCGGATAGTTGGAAAGCCGCCAAGGAGAAATCCCACCATAGTCTTGTTGTTGGTGTGAGCACTGCTCTGGTGCGCTTTGTAGTAAGGCAGGGCATCGCAAAGAGCCTGTCGGGTTGCAGCCCAAACGGGGGGTTCTCCAAAAGGCTCAGCCTTAAGCTTGTTGATATCGGCCATCATGCTTGCCGAGTACTTGAACTGATGTGAAGAGAGGGGGTTCTACTATCGACCGTAAGGTGTGTATCACGTAGGTTGAAGAATGGTCGCAGCCTGAAAGTGAATTTCAAGACGAGCTCTGGATAAAGAAGGTCCGAACGGCACTTCTCGGTGGTTTGAAAGACGTCAGGTCCGAACGACACTTCTCGGTAGGTTGGAAGACGTCAGGTGCGAACGGCACTTCTCGGTGGTTTGAAAGACCGAAGGTGCGAACGGTTGAAGGAAGTAGACTTGGTACGATAGAAGGATTTGAGAATATGTGAAAGAAGTATGAAGAATAGGAAGACCGTTTCACGGTCGGGCTGCACTGAACACCTAAAGAGGCTGCACTCTTTGAGAGTGCGGTTGTAGATGAAAGGCGTGAGTTTGTATGAGGAAGAAGTGGAAGATTGTCTGAAGTAGAGGGAAATATGTCTTAAGTAGAAGTAGAAGAGTGTCTCAAACAGACGCGGAAGACGGGAGTGTCCGAATTAGAAGTGGAAAAGTGTCTGAGGTCGAAGTGGAAGAG